TGTTTCCTCTGCATCACAGAAAGGACCTTACAAGGACCTTGATTTGCAAACAGACAATCCAATGCAGCTCTATTTTATAGCATAGCCTCTTTCGGTTTGAGTTACCAGGAAAAACAAACACATTAGAGTACCACAAATGCTTTCTGTTATTGTGGAAAAATATACATAGCATAAAAATTATCATTTTAACCAATTTTAAGTGTACATTTCAGTAGCATTAACTACATTCACACTGTTGTGCAACATCACCACTATGCATCCCCAGAACATTTTCATCTTTCCGAACAGTAACTCTGTACCCAATAAACAATAACTCCTCATTCTCCACTTCCCCTAGACCGTGGAAACTATGATTATACTTTTTATCTCTACACATTTGGCTAATCTAGGTGCCTCATACAAGTGGAATCACAAATTTGTCCTTTTGTAACTTGCTTATTTCACTTATCATAATGTCTTCAAGGTTCAAGCATGTGTCAGAATTTCATTTTTTAAAGCTAAATAGTATTCCATTGTATGGATATACCACATTTTGTTTATCTATTCATCTGTTAATGGACATTTGGGTTGTTTTTACCTTTTGGCTATTGTGAATAATGTTGCTATGAACATGGGTGTATAAATATCTGTTCCAGTCCCTGTTTTCTATTCTTTTGCGTATATACCCAGAAGTGGAATCACTGGATCATATGGTAATTCTACATTTATTTTTTTGAGGAGCAGTCATACTGTTTACCATAGTGGCTGCACTATTTTACATTCCCACTAGCAATGCACAAGGGTTCCAACTTCCCCACATCCTCACCAATACTTATTTTCTGCTTTTTAATTTTAATTTTTAAAAAATAACAGCTAACCTAATGTATGTGAAGTGGCTAGAAATGCTTCTTTTAAGAGTAGAGATAGAAAACCATTGAAAACATGACCTTAGCTATGCTCAATCTGCTGTAGTGGGAATCCATTAATTCTTGTTTTGTTTTGTTTTTTTTTGAGATAGAGTTTCACTCTGTTGCCTCAGATAGAGTGCAGTGGCATCACTGTAGCTCACTGCAACTCAAACTCCTGGGCTCAAGCGATGCTCCTGACTCGGCCACCTGAGTAGCTGGGAGTACAGGTATGCACCATGATGCCTGGCTGATTTTTCTATTTTTTTAGTAGAGATGGGGTCTCGCTCTTGCTCAGGCTGGTCTCAAACTCCTGAGCTCAAGCAGTCCACCTGCCTCGGCCTCCCAGAGTGCTAGGATTACAGGTGTGAGCCACCACGCCCGGCTAAGCCATTAATTCTTGAAATCACACTCTTGAAATCTTGCTTTCTTTGGTGTGACAGTTATAGAATGCCTGATTTTTAAAACATCTTTGAGATATAATTCACATACCATAAAATTCATTACAATTTAATGGTTTTATTATATTCACAGACTTGCACGACTATAATATCATCAGATCTAAATTTAGAACTTTTCTCATCATCCCCAAACTAAATACTACACCTATTAGCAGTTATTCCCCATTTCTCCCCAATCAACTCCCACCCCCTGCAGCCCTAGGGAACCACTAACCTACTTTCTGTCTCTACAGATCTGTCTTTTCTGGACATTTCATGTAAACAGAATTATATAATATATGGTCTTTGTGACTGGCTTCTTTTACTTAGCATGTTTTCAAGGTTCATCTGTGTTGTAGCATGTATCAGTATTTCATTCCTTTTTATTGTCAAATAATATTCCGTTATATGGATATGCCACATTTTGTTATTCATTCATACTTGATGGACATTTGGGTTGTTTCCACTTTTTTGACTATAATGAACAATGTTGCTACGAACATTCATGAATAAGTTTTTGTGGGGATGATGTTTTCATATGCCTTGGGTTTATACCTAGGAGTAGAATTGCTGGGTCATAGAGGAACTCCATATTTAACCACTAAAGAACTGCCAAACTGTTTTCCAAAGCAACTGCACCATTTTACATTCCCACCAGCAACGTATGAGTGTAGAATCTCTGAGTTTTAACTGGGCACTGGGCTGAGGGCCATTCAAAATAAAGATGACCTTTCCCAGCCTTTCTTACAGGTAGTGTGACTAGTTCTAACCAATGGAATGGGAGAAGAAGTTAAGATTTTGCCCTTAAAAGAAAGGAGAGTACACTCTCCTCCCCTCTTTCACCTTTCCAGCGGCAGGATGGGGACATGGCGGTGAGCTATCTTAGATCATGTGGACAAGGGTAACACCTAGGGATGGAAGAGCCTCCAAACCCTGGACAGCTTTGTGGAGCAGTGCTGCCATACCAGCACAAATTTTTATGTGGGAGAAAAAAGAAATGTCTAACTTGCGTAAGCCACTGTTGTTTGGGGTCTCTCTCAGACTAGCCAGATTTCTAATTTAACCAATACACTTACTTTCTTTGATTCTTCTGTCTTTTGATGATTCTTCCTCTCTGACTGCCCCTCTTTTAGGTGGGAGGGGATGCTCCAAGCACCAACTGAGAATACAGACCCTCTCCCTCCCTCTTGCAAATCGTGCCATCTTGTAGTTTGTTGCTTCCTCCCTATGGGAAAGAAAGAGAAAGCATGGAGAACTTGCGTCTGCTCTTCATTGTCCTCCACCAGAAGTGACCCACTTTTTCCTGCTCCCACCCCAGTAGCTGGAACTAATCATATGGCCCCAACTGGCCCCAACCTAATTGTAAAGGAGTCTGGGAAATGCAGGGGAGTGCATGGATCTTTGGAGAGCATTAATTTTCTCCACTGAAGGCTTCCTCTGTAGGTCATTTCCTCTTAGATTACCCATAAATAATGGTGTTTTCTGACCTCAGTTCTTTTCTTTCCTCCTGATACATACTCTCCCTGGGTTATCTCATCCAATTCCAAGTCTTCCACTGCTACTATCAGCCAGTGACTCCAAAAACTCAGTCTCCGGCCAAGATGTCTCTCCTGGGCGCCAGACATCTATATCCAAGTGCCAGAACATCTCCAGTGGAGGGCCTTCGGGTACCAGGCAACACCAGCCTGTGGGTACAAATAATCAAAATCCAGATTTTTGGGGCTCTCTACTCCCATATTCTTTCATCTCTTGAAAACACACCCTTCCCAAATACTCTGAGTCTCCCTTCTCCTTTGATAACTGTAGTTTTGTGCCTGACTTGTAGTTTCTGTTGCTTTTTTATTTTCAAATACATTTTTTCTTAGGGGGCTTCTCAGCCATTATGCAAATAGACCCCAACTGGGCTTGCCCTATGCCTGTGGGAAAGCCAGCTTAGGTTCAAGTTAGGACTCCGTTAAACTGAACTCTCATTTTCTGTCCCAATCTGCTCTTCCTTCAGTAGGCTCCTGTTGTTGGTTGAGAGGAACGTTCATCCACACAGTTGCCCAGAAACCTGGGAATCATCTGAATTCCTTCCCCTCCTTCACCTCCCTCATCCAATCAGTCACCAAGTGCTATTAATTCTGCCGCCTTAATATCCCTCAGATATTTACTTATCTTCCAACCCTCACCTCCATGCCTTCCTCAGGCCTTCATTACTGGATTAATTACCTGGATCACTGAAACAGCCCTAAATAGTCTCCCTGCCTTCTCTCTTGTCACCCAAATGTCACCCTGAGTGATTGATCATGTACCTTTCAGTGATTGCTTGCACAAGGCAGTGACATTGAAGCTGTTCAGCAGGGACTACTATTGTCCCCTCAAATCCATTCTCCTCTTCTTCCTGAGTAAGAGTCCTTTTTCAGCTGGACATACAGCCACCCAGAACAAAAACTACATTTCCCAGCTTTCTAGTAAGCTAAGTGTGGCCATGTGACTAAGCTCTGGCTGCTGGGATGTCAGTAAAAGTGGTAAGAGCAATATCTGGGATGTGTCTTTAAAGGGAGGGAACACGTCCTTCTCCTTTTCCTCCTTCCTGCTCCCTGGAAGGTGGACTTGATGGCCAGAGCTGGAGCAGCTGGAACTTGGGCATGAGCCTCTTGTTGAGGATAATGGTGCAACAAGACGGGAGGAGCCTTGGGTGTCTACATTCACATAATAGAGAAAAATAAAATTGTGCTATTCTCTTTCTCTCTCTCTCTCTCTTTTTTTTGTCACTTGTAGCCAAGCCTAATACAAACTAAGTCTGAAAAAAATCAATAAATGTTTGCCAGGAGATCAGCTATTTCAAGCAGTGGGAATAGCATGTATACAGGGCCAGGGTCCTGAGAGAGGTGGCGTGCTCAGGGAATGCCAAGGTTTTGTGTGGCAGGAGATGAGACAGGAAATGAGCGGCATAAGCCATCATAGAGGATGAGTTGAACTGGGAGGACTGTGGCAGAGAGACCTGGTGGGGGTTATGAACACAATGAAGGTGGGCGATAACTGGGGCTGTGACGGTGGTGGAACTAGAGGAGAGGGGATCCATTCCATATACATTTAGGAGCAAGAATCAGGAGCTTATGCATGCGTGTGCGTAAGTACACTACATGGAGTAGACATGTCATCAGAGGAGGATCTGGGCTGTTTGGCTTGCTTGCCTCAGAGGCCCTATGCATGGAGTTCAGCTTTTCCCCATGGGGAGAATCATCCTCTTGCTCCAATTCCTTGGGTCCCGAGTCCCCGGCCCAGATGCCTTTTACCATCTCATCTTCACCCTGCCTGGTGTCCCCTGCTTGCTCCAGGACTATTGCAGGATGTGGGAAGGTCTTTAACCCTATGAATGCTGGCTCTTCCCAGGCTGCCTGAGTAGCCTGTGGTGGAGCTGGGAAGGGCTGTTGAGGTTCTGGTCGGCAGCTGGCCACTGTCCCTATCTGGCCAGCTGGGGCATGGTGCCTCTGAGTAGTTGTGTAAGAGAGGGGCCCTTGGCAGACAAACAGCCTCCTCGCTGTTGATGGGCCAGCCAGTAGGTCGGTGAACGTCATGGGGCTTGGGGAGAACTGGGTGAGGAGTTCAGCCCCATTCCTAGTAAAGCTTCCCAGGAAGCCCTTCTCCACTGGGAAAGTCTCCTGATACCAAGGCACTCATTAACCCTCTGGGTGCCAGGAACCGGGCAGGAGGTGAGCTCTGGGAGGCAGCTGAGGTCAACCTTCTTTGAACCTCCACGTGGTATTTACTCAGAGCAGTTGTTGCCAGAAGCCCAAGCCCCTGGAGTATAAAGCAGAATGTCTGCTCTCTGTGCCCAGATCGGAGCAGGTGAGCAGCGAGGACAGAGGGAGGGAGGTCGGAGTCCCAAGGGAGGGGATTTCAGGGGACCTCAGGAGAGAGCAGGTGAGGGGGCAACCAAGACATCCTTTTGGAGCCACTGGGGCAGAATTGCTTCTTCCCCCTTCATATGCCTCAGTTTTCCTGCCATGAAATGGGAGTCAGGAAGACAGGTGAGCCGGGGAGAGGTGGCAGAGGAGCCTAGGGAGCTGCTCCTGGGGTCTGGGAAAGGTGGTGGCAGGGAGAAGCTTTGCATAGCTCCCTACTGTGTGACTGAGGTGAGAAAGAAGCAGCATCCCCCATGTCTGAGAACACGCCTTCCCTCCCAGCCTCCCAGACTCACCTAGGTCAGTCCTCTTGAGCCCCAACAGCTCTGTGCTCCTGACACCCCACGGAAGGGTTAACAGGATTTGGGGCAGGTTGCCCCTGGAGCAGGGCCCCCTGGAGCAAGTTCCCTAGGAGGTGTCCCTGCCTTTTCATCTTCACCCTAAGTGGGCCTCCATTCTTCTTTCTCAGAGCTGATAATGGCAAGCATGGCTGCAGTCCTCACTTGGGCTCTGGCTCTCCTCTCAGGTGGGTCTCCAATCCTGACTTTAATGTGGGGGTGCGGTGGAGGCTGTACTGAGGGGCCTGTGCACCCCGGGGGAGGAGAACCCAGCCCTTAATCACCCTATCTCTATCCACAGTGCTTTCAGCCACCCAGGCCAGGAAAAGTTTCTGGGACTACTTCAGCCAGAGCAGCAGGGACAAAGGCAGGGTGGAGCACATCCAGCAGCAGAAGCTGGCACGGGACCATGTGTGAGTGGTGAGGGCAAGCGGTGTGGGAGAAGGGAGGAGACAGCCTGGGGGGTGGGGTATGCGCTGCCTCTGAAGCTTCAACCTCAGTGGTCCCCACTGGGACACAGGAACAGACTGGTGCCAGCTCCGCCCCATCTTCCGGCAGTCCAGGGCTCTTCAGCCTCCCCTGCCCACAGACCCCCGCCTTGACGTTGCTACAGCTGCTGTCCCTTTGCTCACTGAGGCGTGGGGCTCGGGATCAACCGAGAGGAGCCCCACTGGAGCCCCCATAATGAAAGGATGATGTGAGAGTCTTGGGGCATCTGTGCTTGCTTGGACAGTGTTGTAGGTCTGGATTTGCACATGTGATGTGTTTGTGCTTCGTGTGCGAGGAGTTGAGGGTGGCCGGGGCTTAGGACTAGAGCACCCGGCCCTGGGGCCACCGCCCTGCGTCCTTAGGAGGATCAGTGCGCGATGTCTCTGGGGCAAAGGAGATGATAGGGGCTGGCGGTCTGATGTCCTGGATATCTGTCCCCTTCCCCAGGAGCCTGAAAGACAGCCTTGAGCAAGACCTCAATGACATGGACAAGTTACTGGAAAAGCTGGGCCCTCTGAGTGGCCAGGGGAGGGAGCCTCCTCTGCTCCCACAGGACCCAGTGGGCATGCGACAGCAGCTGCAGGAGGAGTTGGAGGAGGTGAGGACACGCCTGGAGCCCTACATGGCAGAGGCGCACGAGCTGCTGGGCTGGAAGTTGGAGGGCTTGCGGCGGCAGCTGAAGCCCTACACGATGGATCTGATGGAGCAGGTGGCCCTGCGCGTACAGGAGCTCCAGGAACAGTTGCGTTTGGTGGGAGAAGACACCAAGGCCCAGCTGCTGGGGAGTATGGACGAGGCGCGGGGCTTGCTGCAGGAACTGCAGAGCCGTGTGGTGCACCACACCGGCCGCGTCAAAGAGCTCTTCCACCCGTATGCCGAGCGCCTGGTGAGCGGCATCCAGCACCAAGTGCAGGCGCTGCACCGCAGTGTAGCTCCGCACGCCGCCGCCAGCCCCGCGCGCCTCAGCCGCTGCGTGCAGGTGCTCTCACGCAAACTCACGCTCAAGGCCAAGGCTCTGCACGCGCGCATCCAGCAGAACCTGGACCAGCTGCGCAAAGAGCTCAGTAGCGCCTTTGCCAGCGCCAGCGCAGACGGAGCCGAGGAGGGGGCCGGCCCAGACCCCCACGTGCTCTCCGATGAGGTGCGTCATCGACTCCAGGCTTTCCGCCAGGACACCTTCCTGCAGATCGCTGCCTTCACTCGCGCCATCGACCAGGAGACTGAGGAGGTTCAGCAGCAGCTAGCGCCGCCCCCGCCAGGCCACAGCGACTTCGCCCCCGAGTTCCAGCAAGCGGACAGTGGCAAGGCCCTGAGCAAGCTGCAGACCCGTCTGGACGACCTGTGGGAGGACATCACCTACAACCTTCATGACCAGGGCCACAGCCATCTGGGGGAGTCCTGAGGGTCTACTTGCCCAGGCCCACTTCCCAGCTCCTTGTCTGGGAAGCCCTGGACCAGAGGCTCTTGCATGGCTCAGTTCTTGAAAGTGGCCCATTGGGTGGATGGTGAAGGGTCCTGCCCAGGATAGGCGGGGCCATGGAAGGAGCTACTCTCCCTAGCAATATCTAGCCTCCAATATCTAGACTCCCCATCTGGATGCATTACACTCACCAGGCTTTGCAAACCCAGCTTCCTGTGCTCTTTTGGGAATCCTCCTGAGTGGCTCCATTCAGGGGTGAGGGAGTAGGGAGGGAGAGGCACCAAATGTGCGGGTAATTACCTGCAAGCCTGTTGGCCATAGTGCTGGAAGCCTGTGCCACTACGTTCTGGAGTTTGGTTCCTGTCATTTCTGACTAATTGGTGGCCACTGCTACAGCTGGTCCACAAAGAGCACTTGTCTCCCCAGGGCTGCCATGACAGCTTCTGTTAGGGGAATAGAAGGGAGAAAAGAGTGAAATACGGGAAGAGCATCTGATGGTACATGTGTACACATCCCTGCTGGCTCTGATGCTGGTGGGTATGTATGCTGGGGGCTGCGATCGAGAGGACAGAGCCCGTATTTCCTTACATAGCTCTGCATTTAAGTATGGGACTGAGCCCTCCAAACTCTAGGGGCTTCTTAAACCTCTGGGGAGCACACTGTGTGCCCTCCCCATCTCCAGGCCCTCCCTCCTGACTCCAGGCTGAAGTCTAGACTTCAGGCTCAAATGAAATCGATGCTTATGATGGAAGTTTGTTTGCCTGAAATGACTCTCATTTGTACCGTGTCTGAAGCAGTCACCTCACCACTGTCCCCAAAGCACTCTCATCACCCACTCCATTCCCTTCCTGTTCTTTCTTAGTGACCCCCTCACAGCCTAGGTCTGTCAGAGGAGCTGTGGCTGGGCTCTGCTTCAGGGCACCTGGCTAGATAACAGCTGTCACACCTGGGGTGTGGGCTTGGGTCAGACAGCTGTCACACCTGGGGTGTGGGCTTGGGTTAGAGATCCTGCTTCTGCACCTGCATGGCTCACCAGCCTGCTTATCACAGGATGGTGCGCATGAAATGCATGCTGTCGCTAGAGGAACTGTGGCCCTGGTGGACCTGAGACTCCTGGGGTGGCTTGTCTCCTTTGTTCCTGTTGTTTTAGACTTTGAATTGTCTCTTTTTATGACTGATTGTCTTCTTGGGGCCCCCAAACTCTCAACCGTCCCCTCCAAATACACTCATTCAGGGGCACCAAAGCTGCTCATAGATTCCCCTGGGCACTGTGCAGTTGGAAGTGAGAGGTTGGGGGAGAGGAAAGGGTAAACCCACCCCTTTCCCTCTGCACCCTCCTGTCCAGCACTCTTTCCTCCCAGCTCGGCCTGCTGGTCTCAGCACCTCCCCCTCCCTCTTGGAGCACAGATCCCATGTGAATCTGGGCTCATCGCCCCTGCAGGCAGGTCTTCCCTGACACCCTGGGTTTAGACAGAACTGGGTTGTCCCCAGCACAGGGAGAGGAAGTGCTATTAAGAAAAGTTTACCAAAAAAGAGATTTTTTTTGTGTTGTTAGGAAACTGGGAAAGGGTGAGTCAGCCAGGGTAGGATGTAGTGAGGATGAGGGGGTGGGGATAAAAATAAGGGCTGTGTATTTGAGGCTGGAATTTGGGGAGGTGCTTATGAGGACAGAAATAGGGAGTGGGAAGAACAGAAAGCGAGAGGGATTGAGGGACTGAGAGAGAGGAGGCTGAGCCACCCTGAGAGGGGGACGTAGAATCCAAGCAGCGTCTAGCCCAACAGTGGAACGAAGCAAGCCCAGCTCCGGGCCGCACCTTCTCCGGGATACCCTGGGACAAGCCAGGCCTCTTGCCCTCAGGCTCTTGTAGACAGACTCATGGACCAATAGAACCCTGTGCAGTGGAGCTATCGCAAAGGAGCAACGAACTGCCCTGGGTCTGAAAGGACGTCTTGGTGGAAGTGACGGCTGAGTTGAAGTGGGTCTGGCTGGCTTTGGAAGTCCGAGTCACATAATTCCGAAAACCGGCAGTCCTCGTCAGCGGCCGCTCCTCGACAGCCCAGAATAGGAGGTCTCTTCCAGACAGCACTAGCCGCAGCTGGCGGAAGTGCCGGGGAAAGGGGGTGGGGCCGCGAGAGCAGCGGAAGCCGGAAGCCGGAAGCCGAAGCCTGAGCTGCGCGTGGCTGTGATGGCGGCCAGCGGGGCGGTGGAGACCGCGCCCCCGGGGGCCACCATCGCCCCCTCGCCCGACCCTCCCCCGTCTCTCGCCCCGGGACACTTGTTCCGGCCCCTCAGCGCCGAGGACGAGGAGCAGCAACCCACCGAGATCGAGTCGCTGTGCATGAACTGTTACAACAACGTGAGGCGGGGGCGCGGCCGCGGGCAGCGGGAGGGTAGGGCTTAGGCGGGGAGGGGCCGGGGGTTGGACCCATGGCCAGGTGGGCCCAGTCCGGGACCCGGAGGCGCGCCCGGGAGACCGCAGGGCGGTTTCATTGATTCTTTAATTCGCTGCTTTCTGCTTCCCCAGGGCATAACGCGCCTCCTGCTCACCAAGATCCCCTTCTTCAGAGAAATAATCGTGAGCTCCTTTTCCTGTGAGCACTGTGGCTGGAACAACACGGAGATCCAGTCGGCAGGCAGGATCCAGGACCAGGGAGTGCGTTACACTTTGACTGTCAGGGCCCTGAAGGTGAGAGCAGCTCAGAGCAGGTACCCCAATATCCTAGAGGGAGCTTGAGGACTAAAGTCAGAAATCTGGTCCAGGCGGTCGGACCTTAAATAAATCCCCCTATGTCTCCAAGCCATATAGTTTCCTCTTTTGTGAAATGGTATTGGTGCTTTTATCTGCTCCAGTGAGATACGATTTGTGAAAACTCTTTGTAAATTGTGTCACAGGGTATGAAATGAGCAGTAGTTGTTATGAGGAGTATTCTCACCATTTGGACAGCCTGACTCATACCACCTGTACTGTTTGGAAGGAGTAGTTTGGACCCTCTGGAGGGGAGAGAGGGAGAAACAGCTGGGCTGGGGTCTGATGGAGGCTGACAATGTGGTTATTTCCTGAGAAGAGGCTGACCTCTTTGGACTGAACGTTTTCCTTTCTGCCCAGGACATGAACAGAGAAGTAGTGAAGACTGACTCTGCCACCACAAGGATCCCTGAGCTGGATTTTGAAATTCCTGCCTTCAGCCAGAAGGGAGGTAAGATTAAGATCAGGGTATTTGGGCTGTTCGCACCTAGCTGGAATCTTATCCACTTTATTGCAAACCCTCTGGTGCCATACCTATCTAATGGCTTGTGTATGGGTTTCGTCATGCAATCATCGTGATCTTCACTGGTTTAACATGAGTGGAAAGCTTAAGTCAAATAGCGGAAGATAGTAGAGAGTAATAGTAAGACTATATTATAGAATTTTAGCACCACTGTTATCAGAGATAAATGGAATCTTATGCCTGGCCGCCTCATTTTATGGGTGAGGGATTTAAGGCCCAGAGAGTTCAAGTGAGTTGCCCAGGGTCATACAGACACTTGATAGCAGAGTTAAGACTTACTTGTCTTTTGTTCTCATTCACAAGCTCTGACCACTGTTGAAGGATTGATCAACCGTACTATCTTTGGCCTGGAGCAGGACCAGCCCACACGAAGGGTGAGCTGGGGTTTTCTGATTACAGCAGCTCAAGGAATAATGGCTAATATGTGTCTGAATAAAGTGTTCAGCTTCCCATGTGTCTAAACGGTCTCTGACTACATGCTGGAGAACTTCTTGGGAAAGCATATGTTGATGCTCTAACTGCCAAGGTGTCACATATGTTGTACTTTTTGTCCTTTCTACTTCCCTCCCCCAATGTATAATCAGGCCTCATCTCAGACAGACAATGTAACATTACCTCTAAAGAGCCTTTCCTAATCCCCTTGGGTTATCTGTGCTTCCTGAATATTCCCTTATATCTTATATTTATTATGATAGAAGTAATATAACTTCATATTTAGTTATTTGTCTTCCTAAATAGCTGGGGAGCCCCATGAGAGGACTGTGATGTATTTACTGTTATATCCCTAACCTGGCATGAGTGCCTGGGCTAAATGGTTGAATGAGTGAGAAAATGAGGCTCATCTGCCATTATGCATCAACTTCATACTTGTTTGCGACATCTCATTGTGAAGTCTGAGTCACTCTCTTTCCACTCAAACTGAGACAGGTGGCAGCTTCCTAATGGAAGTGATCTGGGTATGATCTGGGTATAATAAGGGGTGGGACATAAAGTAGACCACCGGGGCTGATACTTTTCCTCTCTGTTCATGGCAGGCAAACAAAGATGCCACAGCTGAAAGAATTGATGAGTTCATTGTCAAACTGAAGGAGCTAAAGCAAGTGGCCACCCCTTTCACTCTGGTGAGCATTGAGGGACTAGAGTTGCCCTTTATTAGGGGAGGAGAGATCATTAAGACTGTCTGGAATTTTTCCAGTATGGTGCCTGAGTGGTCTGATGGTAGGTGGAGGATTGCACATTATTTCCTGTTTCAATGACTTATCTCTTTACCCATGTGTTAGATCATTGATGATCCTGCAGGTAACAGCTTTGTGGAAAACCCCCATGCTCCCCAGAAAGATGATGCCTTGGTGATCACACACTACAACCGGACCCTACTGCAAGAAGAGATGCTGGGGCTCCAAGTAAGTGGACTGAAGGAGCCAGAAGAATGCTCTGGAATTATCTTACAGTCTGGATTGCTTGGAGTCAGTGGGAACTTATTTTGCTGCTGATGGCCTGTGTACCCTATCTCAGCTTGTTTGTGCCTCTCATCTAGCTGATGTCAAGGACTTGGGTAAACTTCCCAGAGATGATGGCAGTGTCTGTGATCTTATCTTGATCCCTTTTCTTCCCTTGATTGGGACTTTACTTTCTGGTTTCTCTGTCCAACCCATGAGATAGCAGCTGACATAAGTGAGCCAGAGTATTTTGTCCCACTCCAGAGCAGGGTGTTGGGGATGCTGAGATAAACCTGCCAACTTGTGATTTGCATCTCTGCTATTTTAGGCAGAAGCACCAGCAGAGAAGCCACAAGAGGAAGATCTCAGAAATGAAGTGAGTCACGTTGGCTACTGTTGAGAAAGGAGCAGAGTTGTGGGCTGAGACTGATGCTGTTCAGTGTCTCCTCCTCACCACCAGCATGGATGAGCACCAGCATACCAACTGAATGTCTGTAGCCTGGGCATCCTGCCTGGGAGGACTCACCTTGTGTCCCTATATTGTGTTCCAGGTGTTGCAGTTCAACACAAACTGCCCAGAATGCAATGCCCCGGCTCAGACCAACATGAAGCTAGTACGTATCTTTTGTCAAGCAATTGGGTTGCTCTTCATCTGACTCAGACATGAAGATTATAATCAGGCTGGGAGCATCCCTTCAAGGAAAGCATATGCTTTTTCCCATTGAGAAGGAGGCTGTTGCCTTTGATTAGACTGTATACCTTGGCTTTTGGGTTCAACGAGAAAATTAGGCCATTGTTTGAGGCTCTATGTGTGTGTTCTGAGCTATGCCTTCAAACATGTGAACAGGGATCACCACAAGTTGAGAACTTGCTTTTTTCTGGAGGACTCAGAGTTAGGTTGCCTTTTGTGATATATTTCCTGCAGTCCTGAGACCAGCGTCTATGTGGGGTGTGGCTTTGTTTTTCCCCAGAGGGTGGTCTTGCTTTCCTGGAAGTAGATTTCCTTAATTCCATCTTGCAGAAATCCCCCACTTTAAGGAGGTTATCATCATGGCTACCAACTGCGAGAACTGCGGGCATCGGACCAATGAGGTGGGTGGGCACCATCGTTTGGGAAGAAAACTAGCTTAAGGGTAACCCCCTTCTAACTTTCATCCTTCCTAAATGTACTGTTTCAGGATTGGGGGCAGGGCAGTGTGAGTCTTTCTCTTAGGCTTGGGTAGGGTGAAGAGCCCTTAGGGAACTGGGAATTAGCTGAGAGAAGAACAGAGATTCTGTAACTTGTTTAAGACATACTAAAGGTTGATTGTATAGAAGAAAGAGGAGACTTTTGACCGACTCCTCAGAGCAGTGGAAGTTCAGGGAGGCAGATTTTAACTTGACAATGAAGAACTTAATACAGCTGCCTGAAAATAGAATGGGCTGCCTTGGAGAGTGATAAATCCCCTTCCCCTGAGTGTATCTGAGTATAAGCTGATTAAGTTCTTAAACCAGAATATTATGAAGGGGATCCACATGTTGGATACAGTAGACGAAAGGACTAGAATAAACACTTAAAAGTCTCTTTCAGCCCCAAGAGTCAGATGTTTTTTAAAGGTAAATTCAGAGTTTCTTAGTAATTTGGGATAGGTTTGGCATGGTACTGGGGCTAGGCATTCTGTTCCTGGTGAGCTCTTGGTGTTTTCTGTTTGGGTGACCACTGCCACTATCAGTTTTGAATGCTCTGTCCTTGGTAGCTGTTAGTGGGCCTAACTGATGGGAGGGCCAAGCCTGTGCTGAGCCTCTCTCTGTTGCTGCTCCTGACTGTTACCTGTACAGGTGAAATCTGGAGGAGCAGTAGAGCCCTTGGGCACCAGGATCACTCTCCATATCACAGATCCCTCAGATATGACCAGAGACCTCCTCAAGGTAACACCTGCTTGGGAAAGTGACTATCTTCCTCATAGGCTGGATAGGCTGTCTCTGTCCAGGGGAAATTATCTGTTTAAAGTAATGTTCAGGGACATGAGGTACCTCCTGCTTCCCTGGGTTTGAGGTTCCCAGAGCAGGGTTAATTCATGGTTGGAATTACAGATTCAGAAGGTGACCCATAAGCTCTTTCTGATGACTTGGCAGCTTTTTGGCTTCCAGTGTTTATATGGGCCCTCTTCTCTGACTCCTAATGACAGGATACCTGACAGCTTAAAGCTATGACTCAGAGTTTCCCTTTATTAAGTTAGTTCCATTTCTGTGGTTCTGATGGACAGGAGTGAGTCTCTAGCTTTAACTAGGGAGTCAGAAAACTGGGACAGCTGACTTTGTCCCCAAACTATCACTGGCAGTATTAATTTGGCAGGAGGCTTCTTGTTGGCTTTCTTTGCTGCTGACTTAGATCTTAAACTGACCTGTCATCTCATAGTCTGAGACGTGTAGTGTGGAAATTCCGGAGCTAGAATTTGAACTGGGAATGGCTGTCCTCGGGGGCAAGTTCACCACACTGGAGGGGCTGCTGAAAGATGTCCGGGAACTGGTGAGTCTCTAAGTAGTGTCTGCAGCTTCTCCCAGCAATTTGGCTGTAGGGAAAGGGACTAGAAGACCTCAGACTTCCTTGCTGATGATTGGAGGTTTACCTTATAGCTGGTTTAAGAGACCAAAGTGTTATTTTGGATTGTAAAGCTTAAGTTTATGGGAAATTTTGAATGGAAATTCAAAATGGGGACATTGTAGTTATTTTGTGTAAGTCAAAATGACTTCGGTAAGTCATTTATTTCATTGTAAAGTGTGGGGACGAGAGTCCTTCCAGCACCTAACACTTCCCAACATACAGATACATATATGTGTGTTGACTTATCCCATATGTTTATCCTGATAATTATTTCACTTAATTGATTCTCATTTGTTGGGCATTTTGTCTTTGTAAATTGTACTTTTTCTTTGCATTTCTTCTCCAAATTAGGATTAGAGATCATACTATAAGAACATTTTCCCAGATTTTGTTTGACATTGCCAGTTTTGTCATCTTGATCCCCATAGAGCCCCCCAGGAGTGGCTGCCTAGGTCAGAAAGGCGGTGTGGGATAAATGGAAACCAGGCTTCCCTGACTGGGCACCCACTGCTATTCCCCCCCTGGCTTATTCAGGCCTAACAAACATAAAGCCAGTACTTAAGGAATTTGGATGTCATTTATTGCAGGTGACCAAGAACCCTTTCACACTGGGTGACAGTTCCAGTCCTGGCCAGACGGAGAAACTGCAGGAGTTTAGCCAGAAGTTGGACCAGGTGAGAGGATGCTGGCCAGTCGGTACTTGTAATCCTCTGATGAATAAGAGGCTGCATACTCATTTCTTGCCGTTTTTTGAACATCTAACCATCATGTTGGCGATTATTCTGGTTTCCCGCATCCCATGTCATCTTTCTTGGTTTTCTCCTTATTTTGTTGTAGCTTCTTCTCCAACAAAGTAAGTAGCTCAGAAGTGGCTTCCAGAGAAAGAGTACATGGGAAATTAGATTTCTGGAACCTTTCCTGTCTGAGAATTTCTTTATTCTGTGTTCACATTAGAGTGATTCTTGGCTGGGGAGAGAATTCTAGGATAGAAATGATTTTTCATCAGAATTTTGAAGACATTACACTACTGTCTTCCATTTCTCAGTTTGGCTATTGAGAAGGCTAAAGCCATTCTGATTCCTCTCTTGTATGTGACCTATTCCTGTGATCTTTTTGTCTCTAGTGAGGTGAAATTTCATGATGTGCCTTAGTGTGGGTGAATTTTCACCCACCGTGCTAAGCACTTGGTAGATCTTTTCAATCTGGAAAATTCATGTGATTTAGTTCTAGGAAGCTGTCTTGGATTATTCTGCTGAAGATTGCTTTTTTCTGTTTACTCCTGAAAACTCCTGGGTTTTAGATATGAGACTTATTTGTCTGGTCTTTTATAACTTACTTTTTGTGTCCTAGTTTCAGTTTCTTGGTATTTTGCTCTACTTTGGGAGATTCTCTCAACTTTATTTTTCAACTCTTTAATTGAGGTTTTCATTTCCACTAAGATTTTTATTTTCTAAGAGCTTTTTTGAAAATGGCAATGTTAGGGGCCTTGCTTAGATGTCTGATAATCATTGATTGCTTACAAGTAGAGCAGTAAAAACTTGAGTAGGGGTGAGTCTTGTTGACAGGGGGCTCATCCTAGGGGGATTTAGTTCAGCCATTTTGTTAAGATAGCCCCCAGTTCCAGAATTGTTAGGTCTGTCTTCCTGGGCTGGTCAGATTCTCATCAGTGGCTGTTCCATTTCCTAGCCTGAAGGTAAAAGCGTGGCTGGCAGTGTTCTGAGAGCTGTGGGAAGAGGGCTGGGGGGTGTGTATGTCTGTTTCCAATAAGCATATGTTCATTCAGCCTCCTTGTTTTTGATTCCTTTTCCTCTACCCTTGACTGGGCCAGTACCCCCTAGCCCATAGCTGGGTGTGATAAGTTCTCCAGAGAAACAACAACTGTTGGCCATTTGGAATGGGGGATGAGACTGAGGAAGTTGAATGGCTTAGATAGCTTTGCAACAGTCCTTATTTTAGATTCTTTCCATTCCACTTCTAGAGGTACCTAATTTCACCAATTCTTAAAACTTTTGGAAATTCTATAATATAAATTGGGTTGGTTCTTATCTGGCAGACATGGCCCTTTTCTATCAGGAGCTATGTAATATTTACCTGCTGTCTTCTCTTTCTCCTTTAGATCATTGAGGGTAACATGAAGGCCCACTTTATTATGGATGATCCAGCAGGAAACAGTTACTTGCAGGTATTGTAGATCTTCCATGATGTTTCATAGAGAAGTATTTTCTGATCTTCCTTGAATTTGTATCATTTCCCCAGAAACTGAAAGTCTTGATTCTAAATGGACTGCTTTTTATCAGGGAACTCCTTAGAAAATAAAAGAAAAAGGGGGAAAGGTGGGAGGGATTTTAATTGTATGTAAAGAAGGGTAAAAAAGGATACTCCTAGACTCCTTTCCTCCTGCAGTCTAGTTCTTATCCCTAGCTCTGGAGTTTTCAATTTGTAAATCTGATTGTAGAATGAGGAGAAATGGTAGGAAAACTGAGAGCGTTTAAGCTGACTGGGCAGGATAGTCTTGTGATTGATGTAACTTTAATATTTATGGAGCACTTATGGGTCAGTCAAAACTATTCTGAGTTCCTTCCATGATTAAGACCACTGCCACAATTTTCATTAGAAAGTACATACACAGAATTTTTTAGGCAGACGGTTCCTTGATTCTGCCTGGGGCTGGGCTGTCCCACTCCTGACCCATGTAGGCTCTGTTGCTGCCCACTGGTTCAGCATAGCCATGGGGAATTGGAGGCCCTTAGAGGAAAAAAAACTCATTAAGTTCTTGGGAAAGTGGGACTTGGAAGCTGCCTGCAGGGAGGGGGAATGGCACAATGACACAGGCACTGATTATATCTGTCCTTGGCCTTGCAGAATGTGTATGCACCTGAAGATGATCCTGAGATGAAGGTGGAGCGTTATAAGCGCACCTTTGATCAAAACGAGGAGCTAGGGCTCAATGACATGAAGACGGAGGGCTATGAGGCTGGCCTGGCTCCACAGCGGTAGCAGTGGGCAGGTCATGCATGGACCAGTCTCCTGTGCTGCTCTACCGCAGGGTTATTTATTACTATTGGAATAAGGCTGGGTGTGTCCTCCCCACCAGCCCTTGCTCGTGGTGAGGAGGACACCTGGTCTGAGTCAAGAGACCTACGCACACTTTCTAAACAGCTGGTGATGCAAGTACAAGCCTATTGTGTTACTTGACCTTATTTTAGAGGTTTTCAATTGCCCTGGGAAGAAACCCGGAAATGGACCAGGGGGCATGTCATTATCACTTTTTCCCTATTAGGTCTTTACCCTCCCTCCACATAATGCTCTGTCCTCTAAGATTGGAACTCTGAAGTTGGAGAAGGTAAAATAAAGTTACAGCGGGAGTTTGGGAGTTGGTTTTGGGTATATAAAATACTGATTTTCAACAGGAGTCTTCCTGAGGGGAGAGAGTCCAATACAAGTGAAGGAGTTATCAAAATGATGGCTTTCAAACAGCACTCGACTCTGTATCCACTCTGTCCTTTTGTGATATCATGCCGTTAGAATTGAGCCTCCTAAAGAAAATTTTCTCCAGTGTGGCCACTGTAATTTGGGGATCGGAGCTGGCATTTCATTCATTCCTTCAACAGATGTTTGCTTGCCTACTTTATGCCAAGCACATCACAGAACAGTGAACAAAATCACTGCTTTAATGGAATTTAGAGTCTAGTGGGGAAAATTGGCAATAAACAAATAAAACAGTATATCAGGTAGTGATTAGTGTTATGGAGGAATATAAAGCAGGCAGTGGGGAAAGGTAGTGCTAGGGAAAGTGGGGCTAAGGAAGATCTCACCAGGCAGGTGATAGTCTGGCCTTAACGCAAAGCTGAGAAAGGAGGTAAGGGAGTGAGCCATGTGAGTAGTTGGGAGAAGAGATTTCTGGGCAGAGGGAACTGCAAATGCAAAAGCTCTGAGGCTGGTGAATGTTAGAGCCGGTAGGGGTGTTTGGGATCAGCTAGTCCCACTCTCAGTTACAAATGGGGAAACACATTTAACCATAGAGGGAAGGGACTCTACAGTTGCATGGAAGTTAAGGACCAGTGAGCACTCTGCTGCCCAGGGCCCTGAACTCCCCCAGCCAGTGCTCTTTGCACTGTGGTCTGCTGCCTCTCATGAACAAAATGGTGACTCCTGGGGTGCAGACTGCAGGATATTTGCTCAATAGAGATCAGTTAATTAAGATGTTATCACCCACCTTATTGCTTTGTATTGCAAACTTAACTCTGAAGAATTATTATTTTTTTTAAGCATTTCAGTTACTTTCAGTTAAAGAAAAACAGCAGCTTTTTCCAAGGGCAACAAAGTGAACTGAAGGTCAGGAGGAAGCCGGGTGTGGGCTTCTCACAAGCTCTTGCTCCAAAACCTGGAAGTGAGGACAGAGGGCCCTCCTGGGAACTCTGGGGAGACTGGCGCAGCAGGGGGATTCCTTTGGCGGGGTGGGCAGAGCTGCCAGCCCACCCATGGTCACTGGATTGATCTGAGTGGGCTCTAAGGCAATTTCCACGTGCCAGTCTGCTGACATGATGAACATTATTATTCTTGGGGGGCATTAAATTAAGGAATGACACAAGGAGCCAAGAGTGTGGCTTATTCTGTTGGATTCTGAATCACAATCAGGAAATAGGCTTTATGTGGTGCAACCATAATTTCATTTTTCTTGAAGCAAATTCGAAGTGAGGTCATTCTGGGGGTCAGTTTCACGCACAGTGCTCCGTGCTTTCAAGATGAAGTTGTGCATGAGGTTGTTGTACTGTGTGGTGGTGGGATTGTCCATGGTGATCTTGATGGGAATGCCTTCTGTGTTCACCACGATGATTCCCTGCACTCCTTTCTGGCTCTGAAGTCGCTTCAGTGTCTCCTCCACCTCTGCCATTTTGGACCGATTCAGTAGCTCTGCGTCGCTGACTCGCAGCCCAGTCCCCAGCCTTTCTGCGTCTGCCAACTCTGAAGAATTATTTAGAGATGACTTAGCAATCAGATATCTACTCTGACTGCTCTATTAAAACTATTCTCAAAAGTCACCAGTGATTTTCCACTTCGAAAATGTTCTCATTCTCTATTTCTGTCACATTTGATAGTGAACCATTTTTTCTCAACCCTTCTCTTGGCTCTTGTGATACTGTATCCCTGATTTTCCCTTTACTTTGATCATTCCTTATTTGGAATCTCTGCCTCTTCCCTCTTAAATGTATTTCCAAAAGTTCTGCTTTCAGACATCTGTATTGGATTCTTTGGCATCTTACTGTCATGTGGGACTAACTCCCATACTTGTATCTCTAATTTCTGTAAGTGAGGGCAAGTAAGATATTTTAAGAATTTGGAGACGCAGGTTGGCAAACAGCTCAAACTATAAAGGTACAACACTTTGAATAGACTTCTCTTATCCATGTATTCTAGCCTAAGAGATTATCTATAGATGTGTTTCCAACTGACTTGGAAATCTGAGTTTACCAAGCAACCCTCTGATTTACCATCTGGTCTCTTGAATGGACTTCCCCATGGGGTAGGTGTGCTCTGTGAAGGTGAACCCCAGTGTCAGGTTCGTTTTTCCATTGTGAAAGAAAAAAATGGCACTCTAGTTTATTACTGAGTCTCTTTTGTGTTTGGTTGGGTGAGGCGATCTCCCAGACTCCAACCAGTTACTGGGAAGTGATAGCCTGAGTTTCTGAACCTGTAAAGACAGGGCCAGGTGCCAGACTGGGATAACCCAGCTAAGGTACTTCCTCCTGCCCTTCCAGGGCCTGGCATTCTTCACTTTCTTACCATTCTCTTAAAGTATTTCTCAACTCCATTCTCACTTCATAAAGCTTGTGGGGATGGGAGCTTACATCTAGTTAACTTTGTCTTGCTCCACAGCCCCTAGCGTGTGATACATGATTAATAAAATTTGTTGTAAGATAACCCTCTGCAGATGCTTATGAATCTTCCATCTTAGATCAAGCCCTGTTAGGGCAGTGAAGGTAGCATAGGTAGGTAACAGGGTACGGGAAGGGTCCTGCTACCAGGCCAGGGGAGACGAGGCAGTCAAAGTGCCAGCCCAAGAATGTGCAAATTCAGTTCAAAGCCATGAGAATGAAATTTAAGCAGAAAGTTTTAGGATTATGTTAAAAAAGGATAGTGCTTTGTTTGTGAAGGCATGCCTCTTATTTCATAGTTCAAGCATGTTAAATACAGCCATGTTTAGTCATGAGACCCATGAATATACGGGTGGGTACGGCATGTGCGTCTGCGCTGTGATGAGTGAGTGGAGGATGTGAGGTTAGCGTTGGGAATAAGCACAAAGGGCAGTTGACTTGGCTAACTGAAAGCTTTAATGATGGCAACCCTTTTGTTGTTACAACATTGTCAGTGTATTTCCTTCTTTGTATACCTGTGGTATGTGGCTGTCGCATTGCAGGGAATGGTGCCTCTGCTTAAATTTAGGGCAGTGGTGTTTAAGGCTTTATTCTTTTAAAAATTTTTACACACTCCTTTTTAAGGAAAATGACAGTGTTTTCATCTGTTCCAAGAAAAGAGTGAGTGCTTATCCTGTGTGTTCACCTCCAGGTTTAGTATTGGCGCTTCCAATGCTTCAGTTTTTCTAGTCTGTGAAATGGGGATAATGAGGGCATTTACTTTGTAGAGTTCTTGTGAGGACTGAGTTACTTGTGAAGTGCTTTTATAGGTACTTCCTTATAATCCTCACAAAAATTCTGAAGTGTCTCTGTTTCTGCTTTAAATGCTAATAATTTCTGGGAAAAAGTAGATTTCAATAAGCAAAGTTATCCCCATTTGACAAGTGAGGAAATAGTCTCAGAGAGGTTGGTAACTTGGAGAAGGTAGCAGAGCTTCTAAGAGGCAGGCTTCACTCCTAGGCCAGTCTGACTGGAACATGAGCTCTTGAATATTTTGAGCTTGAATCCATAATTACTGTTTTTGTTTTATTAGATGGCATCTGGTTCTGCTTAACTGCCCTGTGAGGTAGGGTTGAGACATGTTGGGTCTTGTTAGGCTAAGGGACTGGGTAGGATGGGGAGTGGTGGAACTGAAGAAGACGAATGGATGAGAGATAGGTTGATGGAGGCCGAGAGGGCTATATTAGCAATATTCACTAGAGCAGAAATGGGAGACTGAATGCTTGCTGACACCGGGGTGGAGGCAGGGCTGTGCCGTGCATTTTGAGATACACCCAATGGGACTAGAAGCTAAGGCAGGGTTGTGTGTGGGGTACCTACAGGGCCCTCCAGCTGGTGAGGCCCTGTCATCTCTGTCCAGTGTCCCCTCTCACAAGCCCTCAGAGACCCAGCCTGCTTTCCTTTCTGGACCTGTGCTGCAACCACTCACTATAGCTCAGTGGTTAAAAGTTCACGCTTCAAGGCAGTGATCTCCAAGCCTGTTTTGTATTCTATGAGTAAGTAATTGTTTGAACATGTATCCCAAGATACATATATTTATAAAGTATAACTATGCCTACTTGACTAACACTTTAAAACGGTGACAAAAAATCTAACATGATGAAATGAAAATATAAGATCTAGCACCCCACTTTGCTAGCCTTTGGTCCCAAGAGTCGTGTTCTGGCTGTGTGAAGTCAAGCAACGTCATTAACCTCTCCAAGCTTCTGTTTTCTCATCTGGAAAATATGATAATAAAACTATCTGGGAATTGTGAGGGTTAAATGAGATAATTTATGTAAAGCTCTTAACTTCTATCCACTCAAGAAGAAAAGCCTTCACCCCTCTCCAAAACTTGAACGTTAGAATTCATTCTCTCTAGTTTCCCTTTTGCTATGCTGGAAGTAAATCCAGGTTCTTTTCATTGGAAAGACTTTACAGTTTCCTTCGAGAGTTAACTGGGGGTTACCAATAATATCAAACGTGGGGAAGTTACATACGTTTTGGAAACCACATTTTTCATTGTAATTATGTTCGGTTTGGAGTTCCTGACTTCCTCTCTTGAATGGTACCTGGAAGCCTCTTAGAGCAAATGCCCCCACCCCCCCCCGCCGTCCCCAAGGTACCTATGCTATAAAAATAACACACAGTACGGATAATTATGTGCCAAACACTTCTAAGCCCTTTACACAATAATTATTTCAGTCCTCGAACCATTCTGAGTCAGGTGCCATTATTATTCCCACTTGGTTAAGTAACTTGCTTGAGGTCATGCAGCTAGTAAGTTAGGGAACCAGTATTCAGACTGGTACGCTGCAACTCCACAGCCTGCGTTCTTAACTACACTCCTGCGCTTCCCAAGCGGCTGGGGCCAGCATCTTGTTTGGGACTGGTTGTAGCCTCCTGGCCAGAACTGCGCTTGCTGCGGTTTGTTGGATGAATGGATGGATGGACGTAAAGAAGAAACGTGGTTGCGTCGTCATGGGAATGTGGAGTCGGCTCCGGAGGTGTGCACGTTCCTCATTAGTCTGCAAGCACTTCGCGGGGCCTCACCTGTCACTCTGGGCGGGTCGAAGTACACGCGCCACTTCCGGTCCTGGCTCCACCTCCTCAAGCAGCTGCCATCCGCTTCGCGTTCCAGAATTTTGTCCCCAGCACCGAGCCGTCTCCCCGCCTTCGCCGCTGCCATGGCGGCAGCTCCGCCGCTCTCCAAGGCCGAGTATCTGAAGCGTTACTTGTCCGGGGCAGATGTCGGCGTCGACGGGGGCTCTGAGTCCAGTCGCAAGCGTCGTAAAAAGCGGCCGAAGTCTGGCGGGGCCGGTGGCAAGGGGTGAGTCGGTACTGGCGGGGGGCGGGGCCTGGGGCGGCTCGCTGCCCTCACCCTTGCCGACTCCGCCCTCCGCTGCCCTGCCCTTCCTGGCCCGCCGGCCTCCCTCTTCTAACTGCTCCGCCGACCCTGCCTAAGCCGACGGCCTCGCACCGCTTCAAGCCCGGCTTGCTGCTGCTGCTGCCCCGCTTACACCTCGCGCCAACGAGCAGTAGCTTCCACGTATTAAAGCCAGGGTGTAACTTTCTTTACTCTTTTCCCGCCTTTGTAGCCTTCCGTCTTCTCCCGTAGAGAATGATGGAGCTGATTCCAAGCCTCTGTGCTTGGATTTTTAGGGCCCAGAACCTGCCTGTGGGAGTCCCCCAATCCCAAAGATTCTGGTCCTGAATCAGAGACCTTTGATCACGTCCTGCGATTCTTAATAATAGTACTACTATCAAAAACAACTGACATACAGTTCTTGCGAGGCACCATTATGAGAACTTTAAACATGTGAATTTATTTAAGCCTCACAACACTACCATGAAGTAGGTATTCTTTTTTTTTTTGAGACAGAGTCTCACTCTGTTGCCCGGGCTAGAGTGTCGTGGCGTCAGCCTAGCTCGCAGCAACCTCAAACTCCTGGGCTCAAGCGAGCCTCCTGCCTCAGCCTCCCGAGTAGCTGGGACTACAGGCATGCGCCACCACGCCCGGCTAATTTCTTCTACATATTTTTAGTTGTCCAATTAATTTTTTTCTATTTTTAGTAGAGACGGGGTCTCGCTCTTGCTCAGGCTGGTTTCGAACTCCTGAGCTCAAACAATCCGCCCGCCTCGGCCTCCCAGAGTGCTAGGATTACAGGCGTGAGCCACCGCGCCCGGCCAATCCAATGTCCTTTTAAGGAGAGGGAATTTGGACACAGAGAAAGTAACAGAGGGAAAATGACCATGTGAAGCTCTAGGCTGAGTTTGGACCAAACTTACACTACCAAAAGCCAAGGTACACTTGGGGCTACTAGAAGCTGGAAGAGGTAAGGAAAGATTTTTCCCTAGAGATTTTCCAGGGAGTGTGACCTTGCAGACACCTTAATATCAGATCTCTAGCTTCCAGAACAGGGAGAGAATTTCTGTTGTTTTTTAGATAGGATCTCGCTCTGTCCCCCAGGCTGGAGTGTAGTGGTGCCATCATAGCTCACTGTAGCCGCCAACTCCTGGGCTCAAGTGGCTCCCGCCTTAGCCTCCTAAGTAGTTAGAACTACAGGCGCATGCCACCATGCCTAGCTAATTTTTAAATTTTTTTGTAGTTCTGTAGAGACGAGGTCTCATTATGTTGCCCACGCTGGTCTGGAACTTCTGGCCTTACACGATCCTCCTTCCTTGGCCTTCCTAAATGCTGGGATTATAGGCACGAACCACTGTGCCCTGCTAAATTTCTGTTCTTTTCAGGTGCCCTGCTAAATTTCTGTTGTTTTCAGCCACCCCGTTTATGTTACTTTGTAGCAGCCCTGGGGCACTAAGATACCCAGTGAAATCACATAGTTCCAAAGAGCTAGTCTATTTTCTTTCTGGTTTGGTTCTGGCCTTCTGTTTTTCTGCCCCTGTGAATGAGAAGAATAGGTCAGGCCACAGGAAGCGACTGTTTACATGAAAGCTGGTGTGGTAAGGAATTTGGCTCATTTCTAGGCACCAAAGGGTGAACTGTGAAGTAGTTAACTGAGGGGGCAGTTGTACAAGATGAAGTTGGCCCTGTAGGCAAAGACTGCACCATGTAGGATCTTTTAGGTTTTTGAGCTTTATCCTAAAACCAAAACATAAGTGTTCTTAGGCTGGTATCCAGAATGACTGTTTCTGTTTGATCTTTTTGTTGTTCCCATTTAGGATGCGGATTGTGGATGATGATGTGAGCTGGACATCTATCTCTACCAGTAAACCAGAAAAGGAGGAAGAGGAAGATGATGGAGATTTGCCTGTGGTATGTATCTTTGGGGCTGTCTGGATTTTGAAATGAAGCAATCTTCTCAAACTCTCCTCCCATTGTAGGGTAGATTTGTAGGGGGCGAGTTGAGGGCAGAAAAATGTTTTCAGTTTTCAAAGAGCTGTTTAAAGTAGTGTTCTTTGATGATGCCTATACACTGACTTCTCTGTTTATGGAGGGCCCCATCAACCTAGAAATAGGAACTGATCACAGAGAGAGGCAGGACTCCTCAACATCAGTGATGGAGCCATGATTCAAATTAGCCATAGTTCAGTTTATTGGAATCTACCTTAAAAGCAATGCTCAGGTTCAATTATAGGGAACTTTTTATTTACTCCTTTATTCATTGATTTAACTAAGCTTTCAAATTATATACTTTTGCCTAAGTACTGGAGATATGTAGATTAATAGAACTTAGTGTCTGTATTTTAGAGATTATAACCAAGAACGAATGATTGAATTTCAACAATGCAATAAATGTTGGAGATGTATTTCACATACATACCAAGTATCATTAGAGCATAGGGGAGGTAGCACACTTTGTATTCTAATGGGAGAAGTTGTGAAAGATGTAAATATCTTAACCGAGTTTTGAAGGATGAATAAGAGCTAGGTGGACAAAAGCATAGGCTAATAACCTCTCATTGGTGTATGTATGAAACCATTGTTGAGAATTTCTGAGAAACAAGGTAAAAAGAAGAGCTGTTGATAGGCTGAATTGAAAGGTTATGAAGATGGATTCGAGATTTGTGTATTTAATATTAATTCTCAGTAAAATTTGAAAATAGATTATTTAAAAGATGGCTTCCTAGTAATTAGAAGGGAAATAATAGAGATCTTAGGAGCCAGTTTAGTTTGTCAGAACAAATCATTCAAACTTAATATTAACAATTTTTTTTATTTTATAAAGGAAATACATGTTTATGATAGAATATTTGGGAATTATAAGAAAGTTTAAAGTTTTAAAGAGCATATAATAATAACTGCTTATACTGAGACCATTCAGAGATAACAACTGCTAACATTTGGATGCATATCTCTTCAGTTTTGTCTCTTTATAGATTATATATATTTGTATTTTATTTATTTTTTTGAACACAATTGGGGTCATATTGTTCATGTGGTTTTGCAGCCTCCTCTTTCACTTAATAATATTTTGTGAATGCTTTAGTAAGACCTTCAAATAGTTTTTGAGGATATGATTTTTAATGGTTGCATATTAGTTCAATATATATATTTATTTAATGTGTCCTATTGGACACATAGGTTGTTTCCAGCTTTAAAATATGATAAATAATTGTGCATAAATCATTATAGGTATCTGTTTATTTCTTTATTCCCATGAAATTAATAGATAGAGGGTATGGTCTTTCTGAGTTATATTCCCATATTGCTTTCTAGAAAGTGCTACCAATTTACACATCTAGTAGAGGTGATGAGAATGCCAGTTTGCCGACTTCATCAATATTAAAGCATTATTAACAAAGCAAAACCAAGAAACAAACTTATGCCAATTTGGCAAGTGAGCAAGTTTCTTTGAACACTATAGAAATGAATAATTTTTCATGTATTTATTGGGCATTTGTATTTTGTGAATTTCCTGTTTCTTTGTCCATTTTTTGGAAAATTGGATTTGATTTATTTGGTATTTATTTATTTATTTTTGAGACAGAGTCTCACTCTCTTGCCCAGGCTAGAGTGCCATGGCATCAGCCTAGCTCACAGCAACCTCAAACTCCTGGGCTCAGGCAATCCTCCTGCCTCAGCCTCCCAGGTAGCTGGGACTACAGACACACGCCACCGTGCCTGGCTAATTTTTTCTATTTTTAGTTGTTTGGCTAATTTCTTTCTATTTTTAATAGAGACAGGGTCTCGCTCTTGCTCAGGCTGGTCTCGAACTCCTGAGCTCAAACGATCCACCCGCCTCGGCCTCCCAGAGTGCTAGGATTACAGGCGTGAACCACCGGGCCCGGCCTTATTTGGTATTTATACAAGAACATATCTGTTTTATGTGTTCTAGGTATATTTTATCATTTGCCTTTTCATTTCATTTATAATAGTTTTGACATTTAAAAGTTTTAATTTGGGCTGGGCGCGGTGGCTCACGCCTGTAATCCTAGCACTCTGGGAGGCCGAGGCGGGAGGATCGTTTGAGCTCAGGAGTTCGAGACCAGCTTGAGCAAGAGTGAGACCCCGTCTCTACTATAAATAGAAAGAAATTAGCCAAACAACTAAAAATAGAAAAAATTAGCCGGCACGGTGGTGTGTGCCTGTAGTCCCAGCTACTCAGAAGGCTGAGGCAGGAGGATCCCTTGAGCCCAGGAGTTTGAGGTTGCTGTTTGCTAGGCTAACGTCATGGCACTTGAGCCCTGGCAAGAGAGTGAGCCTCTGTCTCAAAAAAAAAAAAAAAAAAAGTTTTAATTTGGCCAGGCATGGTGCCTCATGCCTGTAATCCTAGCACTCTAGGAGGCTGAGGCGGGAGGATCGCTTAAGGTCAGGAGTTCTAGACCAGCCTGAGCAAGAGTGAGACCGCATCTCTACTAAAAATAGAAAAAATTAGCCAGGCGTGGTGTTGGTGCACCTGTAGTCCCAGCTACTCAGGAGGGTGAAGAAGGAGGATCGCTTGAGCCCAGGAGTTTGAGGTTGCTGTGAGGTAGGTTGATGCCACCGCGCTCTGGCCCAGGCAACAAGAGAGTTAGACGCTATCTCAAAAAAAAATGTTTTAATTTTTTTATAATTTTCCATTATAATATTGTCCTTTGCTTTTATGATGGCCCAAAAGCTAAACAAAGGAGGCTTTAGCCCCACTGCTCTCTGTACTGGTTAAAACAGATGTTGATTCTTGAATTAATTTTTGTTACTGCAAGATTACCACCACCACCAATAATAATGGCAAAATAATTATAATGACTATGATAGCAGTCACAGCACAAGAATAACTATAGATAAAATTTATTGAGCATTTACCATGTATCAAGCACTGCTAAGCTTATGTGAATTATTTCATTCAATCCTCATAGCAGTCCCTTGAATCCTACTTTTACTAATGAAGAAATTGAGACTTAGAATAATTTGCCCAAGGTTACACAAATGCTAAGTGGCAGAGCTAGGGCTTTAGATCTCAGTTTATCTTGCCTGAAAGCCTGGGCTTTTAATGCCTAGTGAGAAATCTCAAAACTAGGTTATATGAGGAATGGTGGTAGGATTTTGGGGAGAAGTAGAGGGAAATTATGACCTGGATTTTAATTCCATTTCTGCCATTTGCTAGCTTGTGGCATTGAGAAAGTTAATTAACTTCCTTGAGTCAATGGTCTGGAGTCTTTCTTTGCAGAGTTATTGTGAGGATTGAGTTAGATAATATGAATAAAGAACAAAACACAGTGCCTTGCATGTAGTTGCTACTCTGTAACTAGAGTTTATTATGCCAGCCATCTCTGAAAGTCTGTGGTGTGGAAACGAGCTCAGTTGCATCAGAGATCAGAACTAGGATCAATGCAAAGAAGTTATAGGAAGGTAGATATTGGTTCAATAAAACTGTTATAATACTTTTCTAACACTTTTCAAAAATGCAATGGACTGCGTTGTATGATAATGAGTTCCCTGTCGGGAGGGATTGGGTGAGTGATCATTTATCAGGGATACCTCAGAGAACATTCCTGTTTGTTTGGGAGTATGGAGAATATGAAGTGTGGTTTTATCCTTAAATATTCTATGATTCTATGTACATCTTAGTGGCTTCCTTTGGTTGGGTTCAAGAAAACCTATCATTGTGACTACCTATGACAAGAAAGGTTTCATAGGAGCCCAAAGTCCTTGATTAACGATAGGCATGGCTGGAGGCAGCCTATGTTTTCACTCAACATAAAAATTAAAATGTAAATGGAATTTAGGTTTTAGCTTACATGTGGCAGTTGTGTTCCTGGAAGGTTAATAGAAAGGTTTGTAATGAAAGAAATTAACCTTTAGGGGGAAATTAATTAGAGAAGGATCTATGATTAAACCAATACAGTGACAATCAGATGTTAATGGAGCAAGCATGACTGAGGACCACTGCATGTTTCTTCGTGACTGTTTTGTGTATGTGTGCACCGTTATGTTAGGAATAGAAATGGTCGTAGCTTCAGGTTCTAGAGATAACAGTGCTCCTTCACTGGATCCTGTGGATTTCTTCAACATAGGAAGTCCTTACTCCCACAGGTGGCTGAGTTTGTGGATGAGCGGCCGGAAGAGGTAAAGCAGATGGAGGCCTTTCGTTCCAGTGCTAAATGGAAGCTTCTGGGAGGTGAGTTCCATCAATAGATAAATCTAAATTTCCCGGTAATAGGGGAGGCCTTTTTTCCTTTCCTATACTTTTCTTTTAGAGGAATGCATAGTTTGTTTTAGCATGCCATTGAGCCTGAAAAATAGAGTGGGAAAAAGAATTCAGGACTTCTTCAGAGGTAGTGAGGAACTTAGAGACCAGCTATCTCTCTTTGTCTTGTGTTTTGGTATTAGAATAACTGAGGTCAGAGACTCATCTGGAGCATCTACTCCTCTCTGACGCAGAATAGGAGAGCACTTGGTATATAGGCAAGACTTTGGGAGGAGTTTACAAGAAACAGAACAGAATTTGGAGACTTTAGCTACTTCTTATCCTTCAGAATGAGGTGACTACTATATAGGCCAAGGACCCATGTTTTTTGTCCTTTTTATTTATGTTTGTAAATTTCTCTATTCTTCCCTTAAATATTGGTATTTTATAGTGCATTATCCTCTACTCGTCCACTTTAGACTCTTCCTAGGCTAATAATTTTATAGACTCTTCCTAGGCTAATAATTTTATTCTCTTTTTTTTTAAAAACTGTTGAGCCCTTGAGAATTGGATAAAAGGTATTTGTTTGTCACAACTGTTTGAGCAGAGACTAGTCTTATTTGCCATGATATTTCCCCTACCTAGCACAGGGAGGTACCTTTAATAAATATTAGTTTGAATTGCTGGTAGGCATTTGATTCTTGTAGCCTACTGTTCTTTGGTAAATCATCACTTGAGGCTTAGCAATCATTCCCCTCTTTTCAATAACTTGGTAGATGGGTCTACTTGCTAAGGGACATAGACCAGTGAGTCACAGTCCTGGTTCCAGTGTCATTCAGGCTCTATATGGCCAGAAAGCATGCTGTTTTTTCACTTCTTTATTTATTCTTTCATAAACAAGGATCTTCTTTTTTTTTTCCTTTTTCTTTTTTAGAGACAGGGTCTTCCTCTGTCGCCCAGGCTGGAGTACAGTGGTGTGATCATAGCCCACTGTAACCTTGAACTCCTGGGCTCAAGCAATCCTCCTGCCTCAGCCTCCTAAGTAGCTGAGACTACAGGTGGACACCACCATGCCTGGCTAATTTTTTAAATTTTTTGTAGAGATGGGTCTTGCTGTGTTGCCCAGGCTGGTCTCGGACTCCTGGCCTCAAGTGATCTTCCTGTCTTGGCCTCCCAAAGTGCTGGAATTACAGGCATGAGCCACTGTGTTTGGCTGGATCTTCCTTCTTGTTAGCTGTGTAGCTCTAGTTTACCTCTCATACTTGGTCCTTTTTGACACATGGAAGATGAAAGAAGTAGCTCCTAAGCAGGATTTGTCTCTGTTGTAATAGTTTGTGCTATTAGGTTAATTATCCTCCGATTCTGACTGGAACAAAATATGTAACAAAACTGACGGTTAGCTATAGATTAGTAATCACCATTGCCTCAGTTAATTTTTAGTACGTTATTATTTAGCTTTATGAATGAAAACTTTATTTTCAGGATTACTTTTTCAGAATTCCTTTCAGTTTTATCCATTATTTTCTGCCTTATCCTCTAGTCATGTTTCCCTTTTCTTATTTATTTATTTATTTCAGAATGTTATAGGGGTACAAACATTTTGGTTACAAATAATGCCTTTGCCTCACCCAAGCCAGGGCTAGAGGCATGCCCTTCCCCTATACAGTGTGCTCTGTCTTCATTCTTTGTGGATTTACCCACCCCCACGCCCCACCTGACCGACACCTAGTGAATATTACTTCCATGTGGGCACTTAAGTGTTGATCAGTTATTACCAATTTGATGGTGAGTACATGAGGTGCTTATTTTTCCATTCTTGTGATATCTCACTTTGAAGGATGGGCTCAAGCTCTGTCCAGGATAATATAAGAGGTGCTAGATCACCATTGTTTTTTGTAGCTGAGTAGTAGTCCATAGTTTTATTAATCCACTCATGTATTGATGGGCACTTGGGTTGTTTCCACATCTTTGCAATTGTGAATTGTGCTGCCATAAACATTCGGGTGCAGATGTCTCTATTATAGCATATCTTTTGCTCTTTTGGGTAGATGCCTAATAGTGCTATTGCTGGATCAAATGGTATTTCTATTTTTAGCTCTTTGAGATATCTCCAAATTATTTTCTGCAGGAGTCGTACTAATTTGCAGTTACAGTGGGCTATGATCACACCACTGTAAAAGTGTTCCTATCTCTACACATCCATGCCAGCATTTGTTGTTTTGGGACTTTTTGATAAAGGCCAATCTCACTGGAGTTAGGTGATATCTCATTGTGGTTTTGATTTGCATTTCCCTGAGGATTAGAGATGTTGAGCATTTTTTTTATATGTTTGCTGGCCATTATTCTGTCTTCTTTTGATGTTTCCCTTTTCCATAATTCTTTTTCCAAAGAGAATTCTTCTCTTCTGGTCTGCATATCTGTATGTCTAGGAACTCACTCACACTCATTCTCTCTCCCTCTGTCTCTCTCTCACACACACACACACACACACACACACACACACACACACACACACCTTTTTCTTCTGCCTCATCCCAATATGTTACTGGAAATATTTTCACTAATCTCTGACCCTTACTTCCTTTTTAGAAATGTCATGAAATTTATCAGCCTCATGGATTAGGTTTGCTGTTGGGTCATGAGACATCAGTACTTTTATCTGTGGGGTGGATTCCAATCAGAAAGGCTTATCCCCCAAAATAAAGGAGTTGACTTAGTTTAATCCATCCATTTGACAAATATGCATTGGGTCCTACCCAGATTTTGTTTGTGTTTGGGCTATGGAGCTCATTGACAAGAAATAGAGGGAGAGGAGAAACTGGATCTTAGAAATGTCTCAGTTGCTATGAATATTTCATTTTCTTATGCCTTGGAAAATTGAAGGTCTCAAACTACCTATTTTTTCCTCAACTATGTATTTTTATTTTAAAGATTTACATATTTTAAATATTTCACATGGATCTGGAGTCAAACAAATCTGGATTTAGATGTTTACTCCTTCACCTCTTATTAGTAGTATGACTTTGGCAAATTACTTAATCTTTCTAAGCATCAATTTCCTTATCTTTATAATGAAGATAACAATATTTGTCTCCTAGACTTGTGAGAATTAAATGAGATAATCCATATAAAGCTTTTGCACATAGTAGGTGATCAGTAAATGCTTGATCCTTTTTTTTTTGTGATGTATTTTTTTCCCCTCTAACAAGGAGCACAATGACATGGATTAAATATAAATAATTACCAACATTTCATTTTGATGTGCACAGATTTAGTTAGCTTGCCTTTTGAAAGAAGAATGAATACAAACTAGAAATTATCCAGGCTAAATATTAGGAGCCACTGACTGGGAACTCTGCACAAATGAGGTTTTAGAAAGAACATTGGATTGGGAGTTAGAAGACTTGGGTTCTAGCCTGTCTCTTCTTCTTAGTAGCTGTGACCTTAGGTAAGAAATCACTCAGCTCCTCAGAGCCTCTATGTTCATGATGTAAAACAAGGGTACCTGCCCTGCTTATCCTAAAGGGTATAATATGAAAAATGTATTTAAAATGCTTTGCAGACTTATTACTTGATAAGCAAATAAAACAGGTTCTTAAGATATTCATCAGTTCTTGTTTGCTGTCCCTAAGCAAGAGAGCTGTGCAGACCTTTTGGCCTTTCTGAGTAGTTCTCAGATGTGTGCTGCTAGTGCATCTTTTGAAAATTTGTGTGTGAAGGGTGGACAGAGCATTTATGGGAGTCTGACTCTGCTATTTGTGTTTAGGCCA